TTGGATCCACTTCTTGGCCCGGCTTCAGCAGTGGCGGGTGATGGCGGACGGTATGTCGACCGCCGATATCTCGCTCCTCCCCACCCCGGTTTTCTGGGACTCACTCCACGATGGCAGCAACCCCTCCTCTTCTCCGCCCCATTGCCTTGCTCAATGACCGCTCACCGATGATGCCACCTTTGTTGCTGGCAATGTGAGATCGAGGTGAGTCAGAGCCAGTGCCTCCCACCCAGCTTCCCTCCCCATGAGTGGCTCCCCATCGCCGTCGCCTATCTCCACCTTCTCCTCAACCCAACTTCCCACTGAAATTCTTCGTCGGTTGTCCAGGATGGTGGCCATGGCGATGATAAGTGGGCCTCAACATTTTTTTTTATTTTAACCCCTATCAATTACACGTCGGACCTACTTCTATTTTTAATTTCTTATATGATCTGGACTGCCACATCAACACACTTGAACGAAGTCAACCTGCTATGTTAGTAGAAACCGCTTCCTAAACCATCAAAGGATATAGTATAGATGGCCATAAGGCCTGAGGCCCGACGGCCTGGCCCACGGCACAGCCATCCTAGCCCAAGCACGGCACGGCACGACTGGTGTCGGGCCTGTGCCGACTCGGCCTGACAGTTTGGCCGTTGTCACGCCCCGAACTAGTCCCGAGCGGAACTAGCCCGTGACGCTCCAAATTAACCTGTTAATCGATACCAGTCCCAGGAAAACAGTGCTGGTATCACAGGAAGACAGAATATCACAGCAACAGAGGTCTCTTTATTATAGAGTAGGAGTACAGTCATGTTGGGCTGTGGACAGATCCCGAGCTCACAACTGCATTACAAAAGGGAAGCGGAAGCCAAGACTTGGACCAAACATCACAGGCGCGACTTGGGAACTAGGCCGAAACCCTAAAACTCATCGTAGCCGGCTTGCTCCTGGAAGAACTTCTCGTCAGCGGGATCCGCTTCATCTTCTTCAGCAACTGGGGGGGAATTATTTATATAAAGCAAGGGTGAGTACGGGAGTACTCAGAAAGCCATGGAAAATAAGTGTTTAATGCAGGCTTCAAAGAAAGGCTGTTATTTTTTTGCAATTGATTTTATTTGAACTCTTTTCTGAAACAACTAAGTGAGTGCTTCTCAAACGACACGGATGAGACAGTGCGTCTCGTCCGGTCGGAGTATGTGCAATGTATCAGTCTTTTGAATTGATCAAGATTGGCACCCGGCCAACAGCTTTCAAACGGCCACCCGGGCCTGGCTGATCCCATCAGCCGCAGATTTTTCAAACATCAAACCCATTCCACAACAGCAAATTTCACAAGGCAGTAGTCAAACAAAACTACGCTAGGAATCACCTCACATCCGCCCATGACCGTGGGCACGGCTGTTCAAACAGTTTTAATAACCTCTGCAGAGGGGGGTACACTTTACCCACACGACATTACTAACCCGGATCATCCAGTCCGTGCAGAATGGCCACGACTAGAGACCTTAAGGCTTTCATGACAAGGCATTTCGAAAGCCGACACAGGTTCACCATATGCCAACGAGAGGGGTCCCAGACCAACACCAGATTAGGTCCCAGACCATACTGTGCCAGGAAGCCCAGGGGTCCTCCCCGACACCACCCCGGCGAATCCACATGTCTCTTAGCATCATGGCTCCCCCGATAAGCTAGTTACTCAGCCAGGGGTGTCCCATTCCACCCATGTGGTCGTACTTGTCTTATGTTCGGATGAAATTCCAAGGAAACGGTCCTTAAGTGCAAGAGCGGGAAACCGTACACCCGGTACGTTCCCCGGTCAGCGATTTTGGAAATTCATTTAGTTCGCAAGCACCGACCCAGGTGTCGGGTTTTCCAAGTCTTTTGTAAAACCCAAGTTTTACCCAAGATGTTTCTCAGATTTTAAGTTTGAAGGCGACCGTTGTTACCCGTGCAGAGTGCACGATTACCGAGGCGCAACTAGGGGGTGCAAGGGAACATGGTATAACAATTACAATGGGGGGGTCAAATGCAACAAATTAGGTAGGTCCGCCAATCTGCCTTGCAGACGGGACAAGCAGATTAAGTGCGATCCTATCAATGCATAATATTTTTCAAGCAACATAATTAAGTTCAAATATAGGCTCAAGATGTTCAAAGGTGGCTTGCCTCGCTCGAGATCTTGAGCTTGATCCTCGAAATCCTCGCACTGCGGGTCTTCGGGCTCCGAAACTACACGCGAAACGGGACAACTCAGCAAACGGCGAAAATAAAGCCCTATTATTGACCTCTAAGCGTGCCATTAGATAGATCTCGAGATTTGAGGAATTTTAGAAGTTGAACGGAGTCAAACGGACTTACGGTTGGGAAGATATTGAATTTCTAAGATTATTGGATTTTTGGTCTAAAGGAAAAGGATTTATTTAAATCCTTTTTGAAAAAGAAAAGAAAAGAAAAGAAGGAGGGAGGGAAATTAGACTTCCCTCGGGCGGCTAGGGCGCGGCCCGAGAGAATGGGGCGGCTCGGCCGAGCTTAATGGGCCGGCTGGCCCAAGAAGGCAGCCCAAGGCGCGCGCGTGGGCGGGGAGGGGAGAGAGAGAGCCGGTGGGCCGGGTCCATCCCACGTGGGCCCGGGTGGGACCCACTTGTCGGCGACTTGGCTCACCGTGAGCGAGGTGCACGCGGGGCGTGCTAGGGTTTGGGGAGGGAGGCGCGGCGCATGCGCGCGGTTCGCGGAGGACGCGGTGCGGCGGGCCACGCGCAGCCTCACGGCTCGCGGTGGACCGCGCGCGCGAGGGGGCGGAGGGAAGCGGCGGACCGGGGTCTACTTGACCCGGTCGCGGCCGAGGTGGCGCCGACGTGGTGCCTACGTGGCTGCCACGCGGGCCGGCGGGAGGTAGATGACGACGCCGGCCGGAACGGACTGCGGACGACGGCGGCGAGCGGCGGAGCGAATCATGGCGATACAGGCGAAGGCGAGCACACCGGGATGTTGCACAGGACGAGGGGAGACGAGCCAACGGCTCGGATTCGCCGGAGGGAGCTCGACGGCGGCGGATTGCGGCGGCGGCAACCAGCGGGGAGGGAAGGGGGAAACGGCGATGAGGTCACGAGGGGCCGATTCCCGGCGGTGAGAGCATCTACGCGGCTACGGGAATCCGTTGCTAGTGTCGGATTGGGCGGAGCTACGCCGAGCGAGGCCGGCGACGAGCGGGCGCTACGGAGCACGGGCGGCGACGGCGGCGAGCACACAGCGAGCGGCGGCAACGGTCGGGGCGGCGCCAGCTAGCTACGGGAAGACTACACATGCTACTACCGAAAACTAAGGGGAGGAGATGGAACGAGGGGAGAGAACGGAGGAAGGCACTACCGAGATGAGGCGGGGCGCTGTGACGAGAGGCCGACGGCACGGGAGTGATCTCTCCGGCCTCGGCCGGGGAAGAGGAAGAAGGCGAGCGCCCGGAGTCCCCTTCCGCGTCCACGAACGCATCGGCTCTCCCGGTGCTTGGCGATGAACGGCGGAGGCGAGACAGAGGGACGGCAATGGCGCTGTGGCGGTGAGCGAAACGGGAGGAGGAATCGATGGGAGGGCGCCTTGGTTTATAGGACGACGATGTCGGTTTGGAAACCGACCTTGGGCGGTCAAGGTGCGAGCTGGCGCTCGGCGCTCGTGGCCAAAACGGCGACAGAGGCGGATGACGCCGGCGGGGAGGGGAAAAGGAAAAAGAAAGGGAGAAAGGGAGCTTACCCCTTGCTACTTTGGGAAAAGGAGGAGGGAGCGGGGGCGACGCGGCAGAGGGAGGAGGAGCTCTGCCTCCGTCCCTTGGAGACTAGCACGTAGAGTGGCGGGGGCCGGGTCATGACGACGGCGATGACGGCGGGGGCGGTGTGGAGCGGAGCGGCGACACGGGCGGCAGGCGTGGGCAGGCGCGGCAGATGCTGACGGCGGCAGCGACCAGGCGGTCGGCCACCATGGCGCGCGCGCGCGCGGGAAGCAACGGGCGGCGCGGCGATTTCGGCGGCGTCGGCGGGAAGCGGCAGCGAGGGCGGAGGGCGCTCGGCTCGGCGCGGCTCACGCGCACGCGTGTGCAGCGCACGGGCAGAGCGGGGGAGAGGGAGAGAGAGAGAGAGAGAGAGAGAGAGAGCCGGGGAGGGAGGGGGAGATGGGCCGAGAGGGATTCGGCCCATCAAACCCGAGGGAGGCGAAATAGACTTTTGCGGAGGGATTTGATTTGGGAAGGATCTGGATTCGGGATTGAACTCGACGATAGATCAGGGATTTAAGATCTGAGATGGCACGGACACTAGACAACAAGCAAAGAAACGGATTTCGCAAATAGGGTTTTTAAGATATAGTTTTCCCGCTAGGCGCCACGACGGAACGGGCGCTACAGCCGTGCCTGGGCCGATGCCTTGGCACGGTGGGCCGGCTCGGCACGGCACGGTCAAAAAAATAATTGAGGGATCCAAAATAGAATTAATTTATCCATATAAGACATGGCCCAAAGTGAAGACAGATACAAAATAAGACTTATTCTATCCATGTAAGACACCAGCCCAGAGAGATGAGGGAGTAAAAATAGATTTATTCTATGTAGAAGCATGATGGGCTGTCGTGCCTTCTGGCTGGCCGAATACGGCCCTAGTCTTATTGGGTTGTGCCTGGACCGTTGGTGTAGCCCGTGGGTCAGCCCGACTAACATCGGCCCAAGCCCGGTCTTGCTTGGGCCATGCTGGCCGGACGGCCCATTTGGCCATCTATAGGAATAGGATCTATTCAATTTGCTCCCTTTATTTTACAAGAAGTTGGTGGGTGGGTTATATCCGTATTACGGTTGAGGGATGTGATTCGACCAAGAGCAAGAAATGAGGGAGGTGAATTAGACTCTTTCCCTTTTGGGTGCAAGGCCCAAGGTAAGAATATGGCGTGATGGGTGTGCCACTCAACGTCCAACCCATCCAGCGAACGGCACACCAAACTACCGAAGTTGTACTTCCGAATGCTGCAGATCGAAGCGCATAAACGGCATGTAGAAAACCATCTTTATTTATGAGTTATGTATCTTACATAGAACAAAACAGCAGTTGATTTAATCATTTGGACATACACACACCGACAAAAGTCCCTTTTGTGGGGCGAGGAATATTGAACGAGCACAATGCAACAAAGTTGATCAGCGAGGATCATGGAGGTGGAGCAGTATATATATCACTCAGCAGGCTTCATCTCCTGCTTGATGGCCGCGACCAGTTGGTTGTAGGCTTCGCTCCACGCGCTCTTCATCGCGGGGCTCCACATGTCCACCGGAACCGCCTCCTTGATCGTCTCAAGCAGCGCGAACCTCGTCACCTGTTTACGAACGTTCGACAAGGCCACAATCAGAACACGATCGATAGAGTTCCATGTCGATCGAATGGAGCAACAACTGGATATCACTCTACCTCAAAGTGGGCGTCTCCGACGCCGTACTTGAAGTGCGTGGCGCCGAGCCTCTTCAGGGTGGTGTCTCTCACGGTGACCTTCCCGGCTTTCCGCAGCTGCGCGGCGGCCTCACATGTCTGCAACATCGATTGATCACGACACACGCACACATTCTGTCAGTGCCTACTACTACAACAAATTTACTCTTGTCTGCAGCAATACTGATGGTAGTATTACCATGACGAAGACGGACATGGCGTGGGTCTTGAGCTTGGGGTTCTTCTCGAGCGGCACGTCGGAGTTGCGCAGGAACGAGAACATCTGGCTCGCCGACGGCGCGACCTCGAAGATCCTGGAATAGAGATATAGTAGCACCAATCACGCACACCGAAATGTATAATGCCTCAGAAACCAATGGTTGGTGCCGTAAACTGACTCTGCGAAGAATGGCACTAGTAAGTAGTAGCATGTAGTAGTACATACTTCAAGAAGAAGCGGAGTCCAATGTTGGCGGAATCCTTCTTCATGATGGCCCACGACTTGAGCACAAGCGCCTCCTGCTCCTCGCTGAAGCTGACCGCTCCCCCCGACACGCCGTTGTTTCCCTCCACGAGAGCCATGGCTGCTTCGATTTGATTCCTCTGTGTGGTGAATCGAGTACAATTCGAGCTCAATTCAACTCAACTGTTGGTTGCGATCTGAGTCCGAACTGGAGCAGAGCGAGGCCGATTTATATAGGTGGATCGGTCCCAGGCTGGAGCGGCCTTTCGCGCTCGCGAGGAGCCAAGAAGCATGGAGACGGGATAGCCATGCCATGATGCCACTCCAACTCTACGGTGAGACGTACAGGGGGGAAGGAACAACAGATCGACTTGGAGACTACGGCGGATATCCATTCGAGCCGAAAATCTGTGTGCCGGATGCAGCTGCGAGAGCGGGTAGCTGTGCCTGCGCAAGGCAGGCATGCCGCATGCTTCTGCAGTGTGCGCTCTCGTCTCGCCTCAATAACGTGGGCGGCCGGGCGCGCGAAAACCAGCGGCGGCTTTAACCTTTAAGAAACCAAGTCAAATACTCCACGCTCTCTCGCCTCTCCTCTCGGTCTCGGGTCGTTTCTTTCTTGTCCACCAAGACGCAAAACGGTCGTGTTCGCTCGGTCGTTCGTGCAGCCCAAAAGTCCAGTAGTGTGGAACGTTCCACAAACGAAAGTCACGGCCTTTTTTGGGCCCGGCCAGCCAGACACTCCGAGAAGATGTCGTTTCCTCGTTAACTGGGCTCTCGGTTGGGCCCTCTACGTGGACTCGTGGAGATAGGTCTCGTTAATTGTTTCACTTCCGCCGATCCTTATCGCGGACGACGGCCGGCGGGGTGGATGCGGAACGACGGCGACCAGCGGCGGCCGTGCCGTTTGCTTGCGAACTAGCCGTGAGCCCATGAGTTCGATCGGGCAGTGTACGTGATTTGTGGACATGCCAATCGCCACCGTCTCCTCTCCTCTCTCCGTTCGCGCCCCCGCGAAACGCGGTGGTCTACCGATGCGTGTTTCTTTCCTACCTATATTAGGCTCCCATTTGTGTTCCCATTTGCCGCCTTCTCCTTCTTCTCCGACGGCGAACACCGTCCATCGCGAGAACTCTTACCTCGTCGGCGTCGGCGTCGGCGTCGGCGAGGAGGAGCAAACATTTACGGCTGGCTTGCAATCTTAATCGTACGTACTTCTTCATGGCATATCTTGTACAGTATTTATTTTTTTTAATCCATTAAAAGCGTGGTTGTTTTTCATTGTCCTGTCCGACGAACAAGGCCTTAAAAGTTGACATGCATCTCGTGAAAAGGAAAAAAAAAGAAGCAACGTTTTCTATTGATTTGTTGCGGCCAGCAACACCTTTTCCATTCCGTGTTCTATCCATGCGCGGTTTTTCTCTATCTGACGCTCGTGACAATTTCAGTTTTGCAGTGTTCGTCATTCAGGAGGCTCCCGGCCGATCCGGTGGATCGGATCGGAGCGGGAGCACAAACTGCAAATTGCCACGGTCCTTGCACTTGATTTCCGGAGCCAGGAGGATGATTTGCTGCGGCGGCGAGGAGGAGGAGACGTACGCTCCCCGTGCAGCCAGTCGCAGTCGCAGCAGGCGCCCGACACCTGCGACGCAGTACAATGCAGGTGAAATCCCGCCGTTTCCTCCTCCGGTTCTGCAGGTGGTTAGCTGAAACAGAGGCCAAGGTGCTCAACTGTATAATGTTGCATCGTGATGATAATTGAATTGGCAGAAAGTTCAGATTAAATACCGCACTGCCAGCTCTGTCTTTCTTAGTTTCAGAGGCAATTTTAATCTGAACTTTCAGAAAGAAAAATTGTATAGATAAGCAGCTGTAATTTTTTGAGGGAAAATAAGAAGCTGTAATTCGTTATGACTACCATCCATATTCTCTGTTCTAATTGGATACCCATCTGCACATTCAGATTTAATGCTCAAGTTACTCACTATACCAAACATCAGTAGGAGAAGGTCGTAGTTCAATCGACCAACTTGTGTTGCCTTCGCAGCATCTCATTTTAGAGCTTACTAGTACAAGATTCTTCAACAAGGCCACATCAACTTATGTCATCAATACAGAGAGTTTAGCACGGAGTATGCCACAATCCTTATGCTGAATCTGAAGACTGAAAATTGTGCAAATCTCCTGTTTTTGGTTGTGTATCAGGCCCTCGTAAGCCAAGAGGACCAAATGCACCCAGGAGCGGCGGCCCGCCACCGAAGGTGCTCTCCATCGACGTGCCAGCCATCTCCATGGGCGAGCTGAACAACATCACCGGACACTTTGGACAGAGTGCCTTGATAGGAGAAGGTTCGTACGGTCGAATCTACAGGGCGGTGCTGACCTCCGGGGAGCCGGTTGCCATAAAAAAGCTTGATCCCAGCGTGTCAAGCGACTCTGAAGCAGACTTCTCTGCTCAGGTTAACGATCAGTAAAACAATTACACAACGGATTCGTGTTCAACATCAAACTTTTGTGCTGCAAATCTACGTTGCTGATTAAAACCATCTGGTTCCGTGGACATGCAGCTGTCAATGGTTTCGAGGCTCAAGAACGAGTATTTCATCCGGCTGATGGGCTACTACCTGGATGCAAACCGAAGAATCCTGGTCTACCAGTTTGCCACGCACGGCTCCCTGCATGACATCCTACACGGTATACAAATTCTTCCTCCATTCTGATGATCTACATGCATTAATGACCACAGGTTTACAGCGAATTCTTCTTGGCACATGAAACCTGACACGACGTGTTGGTCGATCCGGAAACCAAAAAAAAAAAAAACTGCAGGGAAGAAGGGCGTGAGGGACGCGGCGCCGGGGCCGGCGCTGAACTGGAGCCAGCGGGTGAAGGTGGCGTACGGCGCCGCGAGAGGGCTCGAGTACCTCCACGAGAAGGCCCAGCCGCCCATCGTCCACCGCGACGTGCGGTCGAGCAACGTTCTCCTCTTCGACGGCTACGAGTCCAAGCTCGCCGACTTCAACCTCACCACCCAGCCTCCCGACGGCGCCGCGCGGTTGCACTCCACCCGCGTCCTCGGAACCTTCGGCTACCACGCGCCCGAGTAATACATTCTCTGTCTGAATCCACACTGTGTTTGATTGGAGAAAAACATGATCAGAAGATTAGTAGATTAATTGACTTTCGGTAAGAAAGGTCAAGGTTAATTTTTGACCGGGCAAATGGATTCTCTCTTTCGCTTTCTGAAGGTACGCGATGACGGGACAGCTTAATCAGAAGAGCGATGTGTACAGTTTCGGAGTCATCCTACTGGAGTTACTGACCGGCAGGAAGCCAGTGGACCATACCATGCCGAAGAGACAGCAGAGTCTTGTAACCTGGGTAGTGTAGTAGGCCATGTTCTTGCACATCTTGTTGGAGCTTTTCATGTGTTCCAAGAGCCATATGCTCTTGTGGTTGTCTGAATTCTGGTTTTTTTTTTTTGGACAATGCTGAATTTCTGAACATTTTCTACTGGTGAAATGGACTAGGCGACGCCAAGGTTGAGCGAGGACAAGGTGAGGCAGTGCGTGGATCCGAAACTCGGGGATGACTATCCTCCAAAAGCAGTTGCCAAGGTAATACAAGACCATCAGTTTCTTGCAAGTTTGCAGGAACGATCTGAGATGCTATCTTGTCGTGCATTGTGTGTGTTTTCAGATGGCGGCGGTAGCGGCGTTGTGCGTGCAATACGAGTCAGATTTCCGGCCGAACATGACCATCGTGGTGAAGGCGCTGCAGCCACTTCTCAGCAAGCCAGCCGGAGCAGGAGGGCCCTAGCAGCACATGCATACTAACACCAGCCCATGCATCAAACCAACTTAGCATCCAAAACACATTATGTGCTCTGTTCTTCTTGGATGCTGAGACTTGTTAAACAGCTGGTGATTGTACCATGTACTACTCACAAATCAATCAAACTGCTAAAAGGGTCCAAGGGCTCACAGAGTTTCAGGTCATTGGCTGTGATTCTCCATTGTTCCTTCAGTCCTTACCTTTGTTTAGGTTTCAGATCAGTAGATATTTTTGCAATTTCGCTGTCCCGTTCTGTAGGTACGTAAGGGTCCATTCCACTGCATGACTGCAAGCTACGTCGTGTTCTTATCTTAAGACATTTATTGACATCACACCGATGGGAGACAAACTGACAACCGAAGGACTGTAGAGAAAATAGGAGGCCTCCTTATCAAAGAGAGAAACATTAATAGAGACAATATCTCAGTGTAGCTGCAGTTTGTGATGACTGTGGCTTGATTGTTCGCATTACGCTGTCAGCTGTTATGGGTTAGTAGTTATAACTTTCTCACTATGAACAGATGATATTTTCATTTCAGCGTCAGTAATGGTCACTGAATATGATCGGTCTTATCACATATCAGTGAATGTGAGCACTTGATGAGTTGATGTTATTGTTGTGGAAAAGATCGCCTCAACTGTCGAAACAGTGGTTTTCAGGGAGATAATCAGAATATCATATTAGTATACTGGACTTAACAAGAATCAGGACGCTTACTTCACTGTTGAATATTTATTCCTCTCAGATAACTAAATACCTTGTCCTGTAAGAACAAATAGTAAGCTGCAAACACTGCGGTTCAAGATGGTGTGGCTGCTAGTAATTCTTGGATAAGGTCTGGCAGAAAGTCAGTAGCAACAGACTTGCAAAAATGAAGTTCACCAGTACTCCCTACACTCCCAAAACAAGCTGATTGAAGTGCAAAATGATCACACTGTAACAGCAACAGGCTAACAGCACAATTTTACAAAGAAACAACGAATATCATATCACAATTGACACCTTCTGGCGTAAGGACCACATGGTTTCCTGTTTGTATTGCTCACTTCATTTCAGTGCTCAGAAATTCATAGTTTAAGAGGCCCAGAGCACGCTGAAAAGCTGCACCTCATATTGTCAGTTTGTCACACAGCAAACTCACATGTCCCTTTCAGAATTTCCTAATTTCCTTTTGGCGTCAGAACAAAACGAAGAGAAAGAAGCAACAAGAGGTGTAACTGTACGTTGCTGTACTTCGCGGCAAGCGGCGATACCTCTTGCTGATAATAGCGGTTACGACGCACAATCGCGGTGAGAGGATGAGAGCCCATTCATCCACCCGTTCGGGATGATGATCCTACTCGTTTTCAACTGATCTCTTTCATCTCCTTCTCCCCCTTTCTGTTTTGCAAGGAAAGCTTTCAGCGTCGAAGAGAGCGGCAGGAAATGGACAAGAGAAGACGAACCACTTAGCCGAGGATCATGTGGCGTGCAGAATCTGATCGGTGCAGCCCGCATCTGGAATTCTTGTTTTGCATTTGTTTCATCATGGCGTCGATCTGATTCCCTGTTGCTTTCACAAAGAAAGAATGATCTTTTTGGCAAGGAAAGCTTCTACCCATAGCAATTTACAAGTGACATTTCCATAGTTCACGGATCAGTATACAGAAAAAAGAATTGCATCATTTTCATCGGGACATCGGGTACGCTAGGTCGTCGGAGCCCTAAGCATATTCAATGTTTCATCCTTGTCGCCATGCATACAGGCAGCATGTAGCCCTGTTTAGATGGGACTAAAACTTTTAAGTCCCTATCACATCGGATGTTTGAAAATTAATTATAAATATTAAACGTAGACTATTAATAAAACCCATCTATAATCTTGGACTAATTTGCGAGACGAATCTAATGAGCCTAATTAATCCATGATTAGCCTATGTGATGCTACAGTAAACATTCTCTAATTATAGATTAATTAGGCTTAAAAAATTTGTCTCGTGAATTAGCTTTTATTTATGTAATTAATTTTGTAAGTAGTCTATATTTAATACTCTAAATTAGTGTCTAAAGACAGGGACTAAAGTTAAGTCCCTGCATCTAAACACCACCGAAGGGATGGGCAGCAGCCATCAGCAGCAATGCCGTGCCAGTTGCAGCATAGCACAGTGAGAGGCATGTGAGGTGCCGTCCTGACCTAGCGTAGATCCCACTCATACTCTGTTCATCGAGAAAAATCTGTGACAATGCGATAATGCCCTAATGGTAATAAATGGAAGTACTAGTATATAAATAAATTTTGAGCAAGCTCAAGAAAACTAAATGTCAAGTGGCCAAATTCTGATTTTTTATTCCTTGTAGTAAGATGCCTGAACTTCTCTTGGATCTTACATTATTTACTAGCAAAATCCTAATTGCGGTTCGCCGGCTCATGCCATAGTGGGGCTAGAAAATTATATGCTTACCTGCAAGTCTGCAAAGTGTGCTTCTCTTTTAATGCCTGCTATATGATGCAGAAATGAGGCCCAATTTAAGGTCACTGTCCCAGATTTGGTTCCTGTCAACAATAGCTGACGATTGTATTATACTCCCTCCGTTCCAAAATAAGTGCAGTTTTTTACTATTTATCTCCAACGTTTGACCGTTCGTCTTATTTGAATTTTTTTATAATTACTATTTTTATTGTTATTAGATGATAAAACATGTATAATACTTTATGTGGGCTAATTTTTTTAAAGAAAATCATAAATTTTTTAAATAAGACGGACGGTCAAACGTTGGACACGAATTTCCACGGCTGCACTTATTTTGGGACAGAGGTAGTATATCCAAAACTGGGTCAACTGCAATCCAGAGGTGACAACTGGTAATCCATACAAATTCAATGTGAAACACACCTTGCTAATTTCGTGGATCTGAACGGGTCCTGGTCGATCCACACCAATTGTGCATAAAATGATCGGAGACTTCGGAGTTCTTATTCCAGAAATTGAATTTTGGTGATGCCGTCGTGCGATTGAAGAATGGACTTGACCTTGATCGACCTGAACAAAATTCTAACAAAAAGGAGGGATTGACCTGAACAAATTTTTTTCTATGTTTGATTGGGGCGCCACGTGATCTTAAAGAATTTTGACGGGCACATGACCATGAACAACCCACACCAACACATAACGCAAAATGTAGGTCGTTCGTTTGCATAATAAACGTGAAAAATTTGAGGTCAAGAATTAAACTGGGCCTATGAGCTATAGATGTACTACAAAATGGAGTATCTTCTTTGCATTCTTGTGAAGCTTCATTCAAACAAACAGAGTTACTTGTCCAAAAGCTAGGCAAGACAAATGTAAATCAAACGAACTAAACAATACTCCCTCCGTCCTATTTTAAAAGCAACCATTAGTTTCTATACTAAAATTTTGATCGTCTGTCTTATTTAAATTTTTTATAATTAGTATTTTTATAATTATGAGATGATAAAACATAAATAGTGCTTTATACGTGACTTATGTTTTAACTTTTTTAAAAAAAATTAAATAAGACGGATGGTCTAAATTGGGCACGAAAAATCATGTATGCAAAAAATGAGACAGAGGGAGTACCCAATAGTACAGCAAAGGTAAGTCGCCGGTCGCATAAGTTCAGAAAATAAATGAAAAGGGCCGAACACATTAAGAAATTAAGGTGACTGCTCCCCATAGATAGGGACAAGCTAAAGTGTACAAAAACTGCTCATTCGATATGTACGTACAGACGACAGCCAGATTTCATGAATGTACATTGCAAATATCGCAAGTCATAAGCAAACAAGAAAAAATGTAGACCACCATAAATGTGCACTGAGTGTGTTCAATAAAATGCTTCCTGTCTTCTGAAATTTATTTTACACGCACAATATATCGCTATGAGCATCTCTAACAGACCGGGCTGACATATCTTAAGATTGACGAAGTCAACACCAACGTCTCGTTGTTGATGGGTACATTGCCTAACACTAAGATAATTGCAAATGCAAGTATCTGTATTAAGTCTATGGCTTAAATTCGGGTGTTTTAGTTCCACCGTAAGAAAGCTAGCCGATTGAGTTAAGTTCACTTCGTAAATTCATCTTTGTATACGTGATGATTTTTTATTTGTATTTTAGAAATTGACGTAATGATCGTCTAGATCTGTGCATGGAGTGTGCAAGACGGCAAATGCATCTTAAAAAAAATACATACTCCTCTAGCTTCGTCTTAAAATATGATATAACAACAAAAAAAATTAGATGGGATATTATCTAATACTACGTATTCATATCAGGAAGGAGTTACCTAAATACCTAATGCAACATGCTGTATTTGAACAAGAGAATTCGCCCAGTGGAAATCAAAGCAATTATTAACTAATTATTGTGAAATTCAAGTGTTTTAAATTGTGCCCAATGTTCAATTTTGTTAAAGATGTTAGTGATATGCTCTAGAGGCAATCATAGAAATGATTGTATCACATACTATGTTTACATATTTATCCGACATTGTTCCTTGAAATAGATAACTCTTTATTAGTTAATGAATATGTGATTCTTTCATAAGACTCTTTATGTTGTTTGTTACTATTTCTAAAGGATCCCTGATCAAATATCATATATGGAACAAATATGTTTATATGATCAGCACATGTATTAATTGATAATCATGTCTCATGGATCATGGTATAGAGATACCAAATTAATAATGTGGACACATGTTGGTGAATATGTTGTTGGATAGACCCAACATGAGACACTGCAAGAGCCATATGTGTTGTGTCATCAGTGATCTCATTGAGTGTTGGTGTTGAATCCTTAGATCTGAGATTATCATGGTTCTCAACATGTGTAGTAGCTTACTTAGGGACTGCTAAACACTACTCCGTAATTGGGTAGTTATAAAAGTAGTTTTCGGGTATGCTATGAAACATGTAGTGGGATATAAATAATCAAGATAGGATTTGCCCCTCCAATTGAGAGATATCTCTGGGCCCCTCGATGTTGTAGATTATGGAAGTGCATGGCCATGCCAAAGGTGATTGAGGAGTCAATCACAAGTTATATAATCTATCAACAGGTTCGAGTGAATGATTGAGCTATTAGAGGATGGCACATATCTAGCCTTAAGCTTAATCGATATCGTGAGGCAAAGGGGTTCATACAAGTATACACTAGAGGTTCAGCCGATATGATCTTTATGTATGCCCGGTGGGTCAATACGTTCTGCTAGGGGGCCGCTGTTGACGCGTGGACCGAAAATGAGTTTTCAGGTTATAGCCGAGTATATATGAACCTACAGGGTCGCACGTTTAATGGGCCGGAATAAGGGGATTGGATAGAGATCCAATATGAGCTTAATTCGGATAGAGACCGAATAGGAGTCCTACGGGCCTTGGAGGCCCGAGTGATGGATCCTATATATTCATGAGGGGTGTGACCGGCGGAGGCATAGCATCACGTGAGAAACCCTAGCCATCACTTCCCTCCCCAAGCAAAACCCTAACCGCGCGCGGGTGCTAGCACATCTGCGCGTGGCGTTCCGTCCCTGTACGTGTGGATACCGGTAGAGGCGCCGCTGATTTGCGGTGTTGATCGGCGTGAGAGTACGGCGAGGAGAACACACGAGGAGGAGAAGGTCGAGCCGGTGCGATCGACTACTTCCTCTATATCGACGCGCGCTACTTCGCGAGAGTTCCTTCGACTTCTCAGCGTCTTCTTCCGCTGCACAGCGCGTCGAGTGGTAACGATCTATAATCTAATACTTGCATGGTTCCTCGTTTACGCGATAGAAAATTTTGTTTTATGCTATCGTAGTCTACGCGTATCCCAACAAAAGATTCTAGACGAAAAAAAGCATAGATTGGGTATAATTATTATGTTAAAGTTTCTTCCTATGTACTATAATTTGGAACTGGGTGAGTATATGCTGAGAGGCAAACTGTACATGATTGGTCTCCTTTGGAGTAAAGAAAAAGTATAGCAAATTTGGAGGATCGAATTCCTTGGAAATAATTATCATATGGTTCTTTGGATCAAGGAATGGCTCTTTCAAATTTCTTTGAAAATTCTATGAAATGGATCATTTCATAGAAATGTTGGAGGATGGTTTCTCTTGTTTGAGTCGTAGAATTCCTACATTCTTTCATACGGTGTTACCAAACAACATGTTTTGCAGACTGCACATATCCGGTTGGATATATAGACCGAGTAAAAAAAATACCATTCTTTTAAAAAATTAACTTGTTTTGCTAATTCCTGTGGATTTCTATGTAGGGTTTATCAATACTCGGCATATGATTCATACCCTTTTTTTTTCTATTTCTATATTTTTAAAATCTTACGTATAATCCTACGTTCTAAAGAAGTCCTTAGTTACTAACCATGTATACTACTCTATCTGTTTCATGTTATAAAACGTTTTGACTTTGGTTAAAATTAAATTGTTTTAACTTTGATCAAGTTTATAAAGAAAAGTAGTAACATTTTTAATCCAAGACAAATTTATTATGAAAATATATTTAATTATTGATTTGATGAAACTAATTTAATATTATAAATATTATATATTTATTTATAAATTTACTCAAACTTAAAACAGTTTGACTTTGACAATAACCAAAACGTCTTATTAGGACATGAAGCGGGGGAGTAGGCAATAGCTGATAATTCCAATTTGATGGGTGGGGTACACAGCCACATCTTACCAAAGCTCAGTTCTCGCGCCAGCACTATGATCTGAACCGCACATCTCATGATCGGTGGTCTAGCCCTCTGTGCACACCACTCTCACATGCGAAATAGTCCCCTTCTATTTTCCCCTTTTTCTTATCTTATTATTACAAAATCCCTTTTAAGAGGGCGTCCCAGCCGCACCGCAGTCCGCACGTCCGCAGCACGCCACGGTAGCGCGACACCCGGCCTTCCGCCCGAACGCCAAAAATAACAAACAAACCACGACCCGATCGCGAATCGCAGGGAGAGGAGACAGGGAGAGAAGAGAGAGAGAGAGAGAGAGAGAGCGGAGGAGAGAGGCGGCTCGCCGGCTCGAGCTCGACTGCTCCCCACTCGCGGCCGGGAGGGAGGGAGGGGGAGAGAAAGGAGAGAGGTGATTCGATGGAGGCGAAGGGGGAGAATGACGCGCGGGCGCCGCTCCTGGCGGAGCGGCGGCGCAACTCGGTCGGGTCGATGCGCGGGGAGTTCGTGTCGCGGCTGCCCAAGAAGGTGCTCGACGCCGTCGACCCCGAGAGGCCGTCCCACGTCGACTTCTCCCGCTCCAAGGGCCTCCGCGAAGGTACCACGCTGGACAGCCCTCCCCGCATTACTTCTTTGTAAAGCGCGTTCTGATCTTTCCCCCGTTTTCGATCTGTCCTTTGTCCTTTTAGGTTTGGCTGTGGCAACGTTGCATGAAAGTTGTGATTCTTTTTAGGCTCTCCTTTTTGTTAGTCATCACTTGGGTGTTGGTGAGTTTGTCTTTGGGGTTTGGCTGTAGTAGCTTTTCAGAATTACGGTGGATAATGCCGTTCTTGCTGGTGATCGCGCGGTCGATGTTGTTGTATGGATGGAAATCGCCTTCTATTCTTGATTCACCATCCACTTGCGCGTGCTTGGTAGTTGTGTGTCGTCCTTTGGTATACCGTTTGACGGTGACGGATCAAGTTCGTGGGTTTACTATCTTTTGGTTCGCATTTTTACGGTCTTTTCATATGGTTTTAGCGATTGTAACATATTGAATGACTCCTAATAGAATGACACGCAGATCTCCTTCTGGTTCTAAAGAATAACAGGTGGCGATTTATCCCGACTATAATGTTTTCATGCATGCTCCTAGGCAAAGGTCATTCGTTATATGTTCTTTAAAAAATGCTAAGCAGCTATCAATTGTGTACGAAAAATCTTTCAGGACAATGTTATTTCTTTCTTGCTCTGATGCTCTCTCTAACGGACATGCTCTTTTTTTTTTAGCCAAAGGGGGAAGAAGAGTACATAGTTCAAGAGATACAACCAATATAAAGAAAAGGCGGTAGCTTGGGTAGGGGGAGGGCTATCTCGCAGCCCATCTAGAGTTCTTTTTTTTAAAAAAAAAATCTAAATTGCTAGAAAGGAAACTGTTGTCGAAGTTAAAGGAATTACACATCAAGGAGAACATCTCCGTTTGATCTTTCTGTCTCCTCTGCATTTCTTCTTTGTCCAGGAGAACCAGGACTTCCACTGTTCCACAGTCTATTTCCTCCACCAGAACAGTACTTTTTCTCCGGTCCTGGTCAACGTAATACAAAACATGGGTATACCGGCCTTTGTTTACCTGAAATTTTAGCTGTGCCTTTTTTAATTCTGCCTGCCTGCCGTTCAATTCATTTTAGCACTATATACTTCCCTTTCCAACTTTGGTCTTTATGTCTTTTGAAATTGTAGCTTAGATACTAAAACACGTCAAGACTAAATTACAGTTTGTCAAACCGAGGTGATATGTAGATTATACAAAAACCAGCCGGCGTTGGCTGTTAATACCAATATATTTGTAAGGATGTTCTGCATCTACCAGTGGAAATTTTTGACTTCTCTACCAATAGCATGTACTAAAAATTTGGTTACGAGATTTCATTGGTTGTACATTTAATTATTGTATTGCCATTTTGTTCCCTGTCTCTTTCTTTAAAATAAGTGAGGTGGGTGGGATGTATTTTATTTATTTTTAATCCACGATTTGATGTAACCCTGCCTAGCTGTATCAGGATTGTGAGACTGTCAATTGTCGCTAAGTGGAAAAACATACACCTTTACTTTTCATAAACGACTACAAACTGTGTTAAAAATGGTGGGATGAAAACACTTAATGCAAATATTACGAAATAAGTAATACTCTTTGTATCAGGGAGAGAAATATAGAAGTATAATGTGGTGTTTACTCTTTAGTATTTCTT